ATCTCCTGTAGGGCTTTGGACATTTGGACAAAAGTGGATGAATTGGTGAAAATCTCTCATCCCAAGAAGAAAAGCACATACTCTGGACAGTGGGTCAGTGGCATTGTCTTCACAGGTTAAGCAAACAACATCTCTAAGGCAACTTTGCTGCTCGACAAAGACTCCAGTGCCCCTCCCCAGAGTAATTCTTGGGGAGTTCAGATGGAAGTCCTAGGGTAAGAACTGGCTTCAAATTTTGGACAGGAAATTTGAAAATACAAACTCAGCAACTCTGTAACTGAAGGAGTAGTAGTGCATTTACTAGATTTTGTTTGTATTGGGACAGGTTTAAAAGCTGAGATTTTTGCTTTCAAGAAATCTAGGAAAGGTTCTTCATTTCCAGGAGGCTATCAAAAGGGAACATGTGTTTCAATTCACAAAGGTCACCAGGCCTTTATATCCGGAATGAAGGAGCAAAATGTCATTTTAAAATGCTAACTTTTGGACTTTTCATGTTCCTTGTTTTACTGCTTGTTAGCCTGACACTAACCCAGTTAATGATTACTAATGACTGAAAAACCAAGTAATGAGCATATGCCCACTCACTATAGAATTTCATTTTTTATATTAGTTTCTAAAGGCCTTATATTAATGAAATTTTCAGATTAGTATTAACTCTGTGTTCTATTTCAACAAAAGGCTCTTTAAGGGCCAGTATCATTTCTTAATTATTAACTAATAACCATGCATTTATTGAATATATTTTCATGTAGCAGTAGAGAAGCATATTGGATAAAGAGATAGGGTCCAAGTCAGGCCTCTGCCTCTGACACATGCTGGCTGTATGATCCTGGGTAAATTACTTAAATGCTCAGTACCCCAGCCAACTCTCCAAAGGTTTAAGTTGCAGAATAGTTATTGATCTGCATTAATAAAGAGAGTTTCCTCTGACTACACTCTATAATGGTGAGATCACAAGTTTGGACCAAAAATAACATGAATATAAGAAATGTACTAGATGATGGGGCAGCTAGGTGGCGCAGAGGATAGAGCACCGGCCCTGGAGTCAGGAGGACCTGAGTTAAAATCTGGCCTCAGACACTTGACACTTACTAGCTGGGTGACCCTGGGCAAGGCACTTAACCCCATTGCCTAGCCAAAAAAAAAAAATACTGGATGAGATTTATCTACTCAGACTCTTGTATCCTGAGCAGCAAACGATCAATAACAATTTATTGAGGGCCTACTGTGAGCCAGGGACTGTGCTGGGTGCAGGGAATACAAAGACAAAAGTTGAACAGTATTTGCCTTACTGAGCTTCCATTCTATTGGAAATATGCACATGTATCAATCAGTCAACAAATATTTATTAAGCACCTGCTCTACTCCAGGTATATAATGCAAATATAAATGCAAAGAATGAAATAATCCCTACTTGCAAGGATATTACATCTCATGGGGAATAAAATATATACAGCATAAAAATACAAATATAGACGAAAGTAATGGGAGGGAGAGAGGGCACTAGCAGTTGAGGATTAGGAAAGCTTTCATGGAGAACATGGTGCTTGAGCTGGTGTGTGTGTGTGTGTGTGTATGTGTGTGTTCATGTGTACAAACATACATACATATATATGTGTGCATAAATTAGCCAAGTATTCTCTGGCTTGACTTTCTGTCAGAGTTCTAGGGCAGAGCTGTCTCTTTTCTAATGCTATCAGCTCAAGACCCCATTCCGGTGTGGGAAAGCCATCACTGTTGGCCACCCAAGTTCCATTTGCCCATTGAACATCAATTAGCTTTTATAAAATGATGTTTCTTTTCAAGGTATAGCAAGAACAAAAGTACAGACATTTTACTTTAACAGCTGGGGATACACTCTCCTCTATACTACCTCTATCCCTGGGGAAAGTAGACTCAGACTTAAACACATTTTATGCATAGCATAAGTTCCACCAAATTCACGTTGGTGTATTCACGCTGTGTGAGCCAAATTCACGCTGTATGAGCCCTTGTCTCATTATTGATTATCTGGGTCCCAAAGATCTCTCCTCAGTCTTCTAAGCCTCAAAGCTAGACCTGGTGGCTACAAAACTGAGCATGGACTTGACTCCTGGACTTTTTTGAAACTCACAAGATTATATAGCCTTCAATCTCCTTCATCTTAAGTGAGAAAACAATTGCCAAGGGAAATAATTAAGGACTGTATTCATGGACTACATGTTTAGCCTCAGATGGGGAGGGCCCAAGGTCTCTCTCTTTATAGTATTTTCTCTCACTGGAATGCTACCAGGCCAGATGAAGGTTTTTAGGAAGAGAAGGACTAGACTCTGGACAACTGATGCATTCTGGATGTCCCTTCATCTGGCTATGAAGCCAACCAAACAGGCTCTTGTTTACCACATAGTCAGCAAAGCAGGGACCAAAGATTTATGTATGCTGTAAAGTCCAGGTGGGAAATTGCATCAAATGAACTCTCCACACATGCTTATAGGGACTGGGTTTACTAGTCAGTCCCTCATTATACTCGTCATAGCTCAGAATGAGAATGGGCCAGTTTTCCATTACACAAATATAGATAAAAATATTTCTTCTATCCCATGTCTATTGTTAGCACCTCCAGAACTACATCACACAATAGCAGGGAAAGGAACATCCTTGCTGTACTCCTGTTTCTACTGGGAAAGCCTCTAGTGCATTCCCATATGCAAAATTAATACAACATAATTAGAGGAAGGATGACACTAGCAGCTGTGGGGATGGCTTCATGCAGAAGGTGATATTTGAGTTGAGGTATTCTAAGAGGTAGAGATGAGGATGAAATGTACTCTAGTCATGGGGGACAGCCAGCACAAAGATGGGAGATGGAGTATCTAGCATCCTTTGATAGGATCACATTTCTCCAATTGCTTCTTGTCTTTATGTCCAGTTTCTAATACATACAGTAAAATTAATCTCATTGCTCTCTGGTCACACTTCATTTCTGAAGCCAATTATATCTTAAACCACCTTATTTACCAGATTTAACCTTGAAAGAATGAAGATGTATCATTTAGGAGGGGTCAACAAGAGCTGCTATAAGCTCTGGAGGCAATTCCAAAGGAGGACTCCCCCCCAAGGTACTTGAGGGCAGTGATGACATCATGGGATTGTCCATGACTTTCCCCACAAGGACTACTATGAAGGAGATGGTGCTTATTTAAATGGAGTAATAAATTTAGTGAGTTTGTTTCAAAATCAGTCCCACTCAATAGATGTTTTTGTAAATAGTAATCAGGTTCCAATAAAAAGAATCAATTCACTTGGCATGTGAGTGAGAGAGACCAAGAATAGAACCTAAGAGTCCTGACCCTTTATGAGCTGTCTCAACCAATGAGACCAAGTCCATCATTTTACATATGATCCAGGGCCCAAAGTGAAGTGAGTAACAGAGCCAAGATTCAAATCCAGGTTTTCTTGGTTCAGATCCATTGTTCTTTTCTCACTATACCATTATGATATATTTCTATTCCCTCTTTATTTAAATGTGTGATTGTAGATGGAGACAAATAACCTATTGCCGTCATTCTGGATCCAGAATGGTCTTAAAAATTATATCTAACATTTATGTGCATTCAGAGACGCGTTGTTGCTCAGTGGATAGAGAGCTGGCCTCAATGTCTGGAAAACCTAGGTTCAATCTAGTCTCTGATACATACTGGTTGTGTGAATGGACATGTCACTTAATTTCTCTGCAGATGTTTTTGGATTGGGAGGTTTTCCCAAGATCCCTTAAGCTCTAGTGGTTTTGAACTTGACCTGGGGCAGATTATTCAGAATATCACAGACCTTAAACGTGAATGAGCTTTTTGGAAGAGCAAAGAGGAAACCACAACAAGGAAGAAGACATCATTGGAGCCATCATGGAGCATCAGGAACAGAAATCATCAGAATAGCCAGGATCCTGCCAGTATGAGTGAAGAGATGGTAGAGAGCTGGAGATGAAGGGGGACAATCTGAGCAAGAACTGTGGGCTGACTGAACTCTGCACTGCTCATCAAGTGAGAGCCAGGAGGAGAGACAGTAACATAGGATCACAGGATCAGATTTAGAGCTGTCAGGGACCTCTTCCTCCCCCCCTTCCCTCCCTTCAGAGGGAGGGCAAATATCTTTTTTGTTGTCTTCTCATTTTCGTGCCAGCTCACTGCCTCCATCTGCCTCTGTGTGTGTGTGTGTATGTATGTGTAAAGAGCAATCTGAAGACTCTGGAAGTTTGGGTCTTTTCCTAAATGTTTACTTTCCCTTGCTAAGCCTTTAAAATGAGATAAACCATTGACCAACAAAATATTTTATTGATGTACAGATATTGAAAGTGATATTCTTTTACAGATGAAAGATATATTTGTTCAGCTAAGCTGAATGGAGGTTGAGCTGAGCTGAGCAAAGTGTGTGTGGGTGCATGCGTGAGTGTGCATGCTTATGTGTTTCATATTAATAAACATTGTAAAATTTTGGTTAATTTCCGTTAAGTATCTAAGTTGAGCAGCAGTGTGAGAAAAACCATAATGCTTCGGCTGATAGCTTTGGTGGCTTGATTCCCTGGGGGCATTTCAAGAGCAGCCTGTGTTCAGAAAGGTCATATGATAGCCTAGGAGGATTAGCCTTCAACTGAACAAGATGAGATAGCACAGGATACTGGAGCCTAACCTCACACATGACTTCCCTAAGTGGTTGGATATATCGAGAGCACTGAAAGCAGGGTTTTTAACCCTTTTTTTTTTTTTGCATTATGAACCACTTTGGCATTCTAGAGAAGTTTATGGACCTCTTCTTAGAATAATGTTATTAAATGCATTGCACATTGGATTACAAAGGAAACCAATTATATTAAAGTACAGTTATCAAACACACACACACACACATATATACATACACACACATTTAAAGTTCATGGATGCCAAGTTAAGACATCCTGACTTAAAGATTCACAAAGCTCTTTACCAGACTCAAGTGCTCCGACCAGTTTCCTTTCCCTTTTCTAGGAGTGCTCACCCTATGCAGCTCACCTCTATGATGCTGAAAACCCTCAGACACCCCTCCGGAATCTCCCAGGCCTTTGCTCTGACTACTGCTCGGCATTCCATTCCAATTGCCACTCTGCCGTCTCTCTGCTGACTAATGACCACCGTCTCCGGGCATCCCAGGAGAAGAATGGAGCCCACTTTTGCCACCTCCTCAATCTTCCAGACCAGGACTACTGTTTCCCCAATGTGCTGAGGAATGACAACCTCAATCGCAAGCTTGGAGCTGTAGTAGAGGACCGGAAGGGCTGTTTGCAACTCTGTCTGACTGAGGTGGCCAATGGGCTGAAGAACCCTGTCTCCATGGTGCATGCTGGGGATGGAACTCATCGCCTCTTTGTTGCTGAGCAGATTGGAGTGGTGTGGGTCTATTTGCCAGATGGGAGTCGATTAGAGGAGCCTTTCCTGGACCTTAAGAGCTTGGTGTTGACAACCCCATGGATAGGTGATGAGAGAGGCTTCTTGGGCTTGGTTTTCCACCCCAGATTCCGACGCAATCTCAAGTTCTATATTTACTACTCATGCCGGGGCAAAAAGAAAGCAGAGAAAATTCGTATCAGTGAGATGAAGGTTTCTCAGGCTGATGTCAATAAGGCTGATATAAACTCAGAAAGGTAAGGAGTGCTACAGATGGCAGAGACTGTCTTTTTTGATGGCCCATAAGAACACTTTTGGTTGATTGTCTTCTGTGATTCATCACGTTTCCAAAGAGGCATTGCCAAATAATATAGATGTTCAGAGTAGACTCTTATAATGTGTCCCCTTTACTCAAGGACTGTTATGGGTTTAACTGACTGAGTGGAACTTTTATTAGACTTACAAAAGGTGTAGACAGTGTTGTGCCTATACTACAAGAAAAAGCAGATGCACATAGAAAAGAGAAGGTTTCCTTTTTTTTTTTTAATTTTCTTTACTTGTTTCTCACTGTCTATACAGATGGACTGGGAAATCCCAAAGATCCTGGAGAAGAGATACAAGAATTCAAGTCTACCTATTTTGAACCCTTCACTTATCAAATATTAAAAAGCCATTTAAAATTATTTGGTAAAAATAGGGATTTGTAAGTGCTATCTGGATAAAATCCACACTAATAATGTGGAGCACTTCTAAGTATCATGGATACAGAGTTTGGCATTGTAAGTCTTCAAATAATGAGGTCAAACACTGGGAAATAGTGCCCTATCCACGTGGGACAAAATGGCTCTGGGATCTCTATCTACATACATACATACTTACATACATATACATAGACATACACACAAATATATACATATGCTAGTATGTGGAGGAGCGTGTACATGTATATACATACATATGTTCTATATATGTGTGGGTGTGCTGGTATGTATGTATGTATGTGTGTGTGTGTGTGTGTGTGTGTGTGTGTGTGTGTGCTGGTAAATGTTTAACAACTGACTCCCCAAGAAAACATGAATATATATATACATTTCAAAATGTAATCAGCATTACTAATATCTTCTGTATAACTTTCTGTAGACAATCCACAAAACAATAAATCAAGCCCTGATTTGTGACAATTCCCAAGGCATAAATGCTTATGCTGAAACTTTAACAACCATGTTCTTAGGAGCTCCAGCTTGTTTCTGGACATAAGAAACAGTTTCAAAGCCTGAACTCCCCAATTATTGTCGGAGAAAGAGTTGTCACTTTAAGATCCTAGTCTTAGAACTGGAAGGGACCTTGGAGTTTATTTTGTCCAACCCTCTCATTTTATAGATAAAGAAGCTGAGGACCAGAGAGCTACAGAGTGAGTTGCCAGGTCTCATGGTTAGTAAGTGGTGGCAGAGCTGGTTTTCAAAGACAAGTCCTCTGCTTCCAAATCCAGCCTTGTTTCCTATGGACCACAGTTTTCTATCTATTTTTCTTGTTGCCACTAGCCTGATTCTGAACCTCAAAGGATCCTGACCAGTCAGTCCCCCTTTCTCTCTAGACAGGATGCCAGGGAACCCTCCTTCAATATATACCAGAGAATTAGCAGGGATGAGCTGTAGTTGTTGAGTACCAAATGAAGAGCCATTTGTTAAACTTTTAGGGTGAGCATTTATAACTTGGAAACTCGCTGCAAATCAAGGCTTGATTTATTGTTTTGTTGATTGTTTAGAATTTTTTAAAATGGTGAAGAAAATGTTAATAATGCAGATTAAACTTAAAAGCATTTCTTGCATGTGTTTTTCTTTTTTATTCTTTTTTTCTTTTTTAGTTCAGCCAGTTGTTAAATATTTACAGCACAACCCTGCATATAACCAAACAAAATGAGGTACAGAATCCAAGGTGGAGGTTGTGTTCACAAAAGGATTCCTCCTGGAGGCCTTGCCATACTCAGCAAAATCCCAAACTCAATTTAGTGCCCAAGTTAACAGACTAGCTAGGAATTCACCTAAGGAGCGTGCTAATCAGGGAAAGAATTTGATTAACCACAGCATACTTGCACTGATTGTAACCTGAAAATAGTAAGCCACTTGAACCTGGGAAACATGGGGTATCTTGGCTGCCTTAGAGGACTGATTGTTTCTATGTATGTGAGATTTTGTTTGAGTTAAGGATATATGCATAGCTTATCCTTCTTTTCTAGGGTCATCCTGGAGTTAGAAGAGCCAGCTTCCAATCATAATGGGGGGCAACTCCTCTTTGGCCTTGATGGCTATCTGTATATATTCACTGGGGATGGTGGAGAAGCTGGAGACCCCTTTGGCAAGTTTGGAAATGCTCAGAACAAGTAAGCTGGGGGCTGGGCTTCAATCTCTTTGTGCCTGGTACTTACTTGGGTGGGGATAATAGCCAAGATGGGGAATGTTCTTAGGAGGTAGAGACCAAAAGCTCTTTCAGCTTCCCATAGGTATGAAATCAAGGCTCCTTGCTTAACTACCTCTTACTGCATGAGGTGACCCTGTGGAAAAGCCCCATTTAGCTTCTTTACAGTGTTCAAATTCCAGATTTCTACATGGTACCTTGTTTGATTAATTAAGCTTTTGGATTCCCATAGCACCTTTCAGTAGAGAATAAATTTTATTTTATATCCATATAAGCTAGTCAGTTTTCTAATTGTCAAGACTCATAACTTTGCTGGCTTTCTTTAAGACTCAGCTCAAATTCCACCTTCTGCAGGAAGCCTTTCTTATCTTTTCCGTGAGGCCCCAAGTTGTTAGTGCCTTCTCCTCTAAGGTTACCTACTGTTGGAAATGTATATGTCTTGTACCTACCTAGTTATTTACAAGCTGTCTCCTCCATGAAAACATCAGCTCTTTGAGAATAGGGAGTGTGTTTTTGCGTTTCTTTGTACTCCTAGTGCTTTAGCAGAGTGCCTGGCATAAATAAGTCCTTAATAAATGCTTGTTGTCTGACTGTTGACCTGAGAAGTTGGGTAAAAATTAACTTTCATCTTGAATGCATTTGGAAGAATGGAACCCCTATTCTTTTTTATAATCCTAATACCTCACTGAGATTGAGAAGTTACCTAGGGTTACATAGTGAAATTAGGGGCAAATGTGTCATGAATGAAATTCATCAAAAGTAGACTGAGGCATGTATTCTCTGCATAAGATAACAGTTATTAACAGGGCATGAATCTGATAATAAAGGGATCAATGACTTGCCTCAGTTTAAGCCAAAGAACCCTAGGAAAAGAAACATAGTTTTTGAGGAGTACAGAATAAGGAATAGGACTTCGTAGGCAGGAAGCAAATTGTGATTGGTTATAGGGTTGGTAACATCATGGGGGTGAAGATGACATGATGGTTACAGAGTTGAGGCATGGGGGACAACATGATTGATTAGAAACTATAACTGACAGGCTAGCAACAACCCTCTTCTTCCCTCCTGTGACTAAGAAAAATTCATTGTTTGAGTCCGCCTGTCAGGTTAGGGATAGTGGGCCACATTTCTCTGGATAACAAACAGATGCCCTGGAAAGATAGCTTGGTGGCATCAAGACACTAGAGCAGACTCCCTGGTGCCCACCTGCGTTCCCACGAGGATAGCAGATTTTCTTGAGGCAAAAACAGGAACATGATAAAGTAGAACTGGATTTGTAAACTTAACTCATTATAGGCCCGCTAAATTTCTGCTCTAAATTCAGAGACAAAGAACCATGATTTAGGCAGTTAGAAGACGAAATCGATTAACTGTAATCAGGGTCAATAATAAAATGATAGAGAATCAATAGCACCTTCTTACACGGTTAGCAAAACGAAGCAGTTTCGTTTATGTCTTTGCATTCTCATCACCGTATTTCAGTGCCTTACACATAGTGAGTACTTTGTAAATATTTAAGAAATGATTCCTTGAACTTCAGCATGCACAATCCTAACATCTTGTAGGGATTGAAGTGTAACAGAAAACACAATGTACACCCCTAGCGAGCCATTTCAAACCATCCTATTGTACCACATGATAGCCTGCCACAAAGTATATCTTAGGCAGGCAAAACAAAAACTGTAACAAGGATAAGGGAACAGGTATTTTGCCCTTGGGTGCCAAAATGTATAAGATTCTGACAGCATTTGTTTCCTTAAATAAGCATGAACAATAAGCCAAGGCACTTAGAAAGAAGAATTAGTTAAAATGAGAAGTTATCAGGTGGCATGCTTCTTTCTCCCTCCCTCTCCCCCAACTCCCAGAACTCCTTCCTGGTGCTATCTTACTCTACTCCTTCCCTCAGTAATAGCTTTCCCAGCAGGAGCCTCTTAGCACCCCAGGATGTGTTCCACCTCCCACCCAACTCCCTCCTTAATTCTGAGTCTTCCCTTCCCTTCTCCCCTCAACAGGGCTTTATGCAGTCTGAAGTCTCTCTCCCCCACCCGCTCCCTGCCCCCTCTCCCAACTGTGTGGCATTTGCCCCATCCCAGAATTTATAGTCACTCTTGTTATTTTATTCTCACTCATTGCTAGCTCTACTCCCTATCCCTTCTTCTTCCTTGCTTTTTTTCTTTCTTTCTTTTTATTTCAGGAGTTCACTGCTGGGAAAAGTGTTGAGGATAGATATAAACCGGAGAGGCTCAGATAACAAGCGTTACGGGATCCCTCCAGATAACCCCTTCGTCTCGGAGCCTGGGGCTCACCCCGCTATCTACGCATATGGGGTCAGGAACATGTGGCGCTGTGCAGTCGATCGAGGCGACCCCACCACCCAGAAGGGCCGAGGCCGGATATTCTGTGGTGATGTGGGTCAGAACAGGTTTGAAGAGGTGGACCTCATTGTTAAAGGAGGGAATTATGGCTGGAGAGCTAAGGAAGGCTTTGAATGTTATGACATTAAACTCTGTCATAATGCCTCTTTAGGTAAGCAAGAAAACCTGAAATTTGGGAGGATACAGGTTGGGAACGAGAGACACTGTGACATATGAGGGTCAGAGAGAGCCTTGGAATCAGAGACCTGGATTCAAGTTCTAACACACACACACATAGTATACTGCTTGTGTGTTCTCACATCATGTTCTATGATGAAATCACAGGTCGAGTGTGTGTGTGTGTGTGTGTGTGTGTGTGTGTATGAGAGAGACAGAGAGACAGACAGAGAGAGAGAGCAAGAGAAGAGAAGAAGGATAAAGCTTGAAACAAAAGCATTTCTGAATTCAACATTTTCTGCCCTGCTGGGTGTTTGTTTATCCTTCTACTTTGCTTGTGGGTGCTGGAAACAGAAGGTCATAAAATGCTTCATTGGCCTGACCAGGAAAAAACTAGCCCCTTGCCTGGATCCCTTCTCTCACCAAGCACCTAGAATTAAATCACATTTCACTGGATCAGTCCCATCTGGTCATTAATAAGCTCTTTCTCCTTTCTTGGGTGCTCTTGACACAGATTGTGACAATTCCTTGCTAAAAATATGCCTTTCTAATTCTTTTGATATATTAGGTACTGTACCTTTCTGTGTTTTGAGGTTTTTCTAGGGTCACTGTTGTAACTCTGTATGCCTATCATTAGAAGGATTTGCTAAACTCTAATACCACCATGCCTGCTTCCTGTATTGCAGTAGTTTTGAAAAACACTTTCAAAGCTGCTTCCCCCCTCCCCTACACCATGTCAGTTGTTTCTACGTCACCTGTCAATTAGCTGACGAACAGTAGCTATTTCTCCTTTTGTTTCTTGACAGATGACATCCTGCCGATCTATGCTTATGGCCATTTGGTGGGAAAGTCAGTCACTGGAGGATACGTGTACCGGGGGTGTGAATCCCCAAATCTAAATGGCCTCTACATCTTTGGGGACTTTATGAGTGGGTAAGAATTCTTACTTCCTGTGTCATCTTAAACTCCCTAGACCCCAGTTTCTTTTTATATAAAATTAAGGAGTTGAACCAAATGACCTCTGAGGGCTCTTCTAGCTCTCTGTTGGTGATCCCATGATCCACCATGTTTCCTTTTCTAATTCCAAGAACCATTTTTCAGACAGGCAGTTTTATTTCACTCCATCCCACACTTTCCCTTTCCACAGCTACTTTCCTTCTTTCCTTCTTTAACCTTGGAGGGATTTGACCTTTTCTGAAGAGCACTGAAATTCATAGTCAGAATAGTACAGTAGGCAAATTATTTATCCTCTCTGGGCCCCAGTTTCTTCTGTAAATGAGGGCTTTGGATTAGATGACCTCTGAAATCCCTTCTAACTCTGACTCTATTACCCTAAGATCATAGCTCAGGGCTCTTATCCTTTTTGTGTGTATGTCATGGACCCCTTCAGATGGACCCTTTCTCAGAATCATGTTTAAAAATGTATAAGCTAAAATTACACAGGATTATACAGGAAATCAATTCTATTAAAACACACTTATCTAAATAGATTTTTTTTTTAAGTTCATGGATCCCAGGTGAAGAATCCCTTATCTAAATTATCTTTCTCACTTTAAAACTCAGAAAACTGAGGCTCAGAGAAGCTAAGTGCGGAGTCTCAGAGCCAAGATCCAAGATCCTCCCCTTAGTATTTAATATCCCCAGTGCCTGGCCTGTAGCAGGTGCTTAATAAATGTTGAATGATTGATTGACTGACTGAACTACTTCTAGGGATATCAGGAGATAGTCTATCAAGGAGCTTTTGCCGGCATGCTTGCAGTGAGACACCAAAAGCTTTTATGGGGAGCCCTGCTGAAGTTATACTAATAGCTTAGCATTTATAGCATCATATAACAGGCTGGGTAAGTGTTACTTTGTAAGTGAATAATGATCACTTACATATCTACTGCATATTAATGTATAGAAGATAGTCATTGTATGATGGAGTAACTGATGGGAGTCAGGAAGCCACTGATGATTCCTGAGCAGAGGAGTAATATGTTCATACCTGCTCATGAATATCAATTTGGCAGCTGGGTGGAAAGTGAATTGGAGAGGAGAGACATGATGTGTAGGGAGACCAATTAGGAAGCTATTGAAATAGTCCAGACAAGAGGTGATAAAGGTCTAAACTAGAGTGGTTGTGGTGTGAGTGAAGAGAAGGAGGCTGGATATGAGAGATGTTGAGGAGGTGGAATCCATAAGACTTGGGGGGGCAGAGAGTAAAGAGTCAAATATATGGCTTCTGGGTTTCAAATATGGGTGACTAGAAGGATGGTAGCATCCTTAATAGATATAGGGAAGTTAGAAGAAGAGGTAGATTGAGTTTGAGATGCTTATGAGATAGCCAGGTGGAGAGGTCTAGCAAGTAGTTGGAAATACAGGACTGAACTCCAGTGAGACATGTGAGCTAGATATGTACAGGAGATTTGGGGATCATCTGCATGGAAATGACAGCCAAAGCCATAGGAGCTGATTATATCATTATGAGAAGTCCTTCCTGACCTCCCTAGATATTAATGCTCTCTACTTCCTTGAATTATTTTGTATTTTCTTTTGATATGAATGTTTTATTCCCACAATACCCTCCCTCCCCTTCCCAAGTGAAATGTAAGCTGCTTGAGGGCAGAAATTATTTTTTTTGTTTTGTCTTAACACCTGTAGTGCCTAGCATAGTGTCAATGCACTATTACACAGTCAATTATACTATTGCAATTACACAGCCAATGCATAATGAATTATTCGTTGAGAAGGAGATATGTGGGGAAAGAGGAAGAGAGTTAGAATTCAAAATTATCTCAATAGGTTAGAACACTGGGCTGAATTAGAAAAATAGATAGAACATTTATGAAGCACCTACTATGTGCCAGACACTGTACTAAGCCCTGGAGATACACATATAAACAAAAACAAGGGGCAGCTAGATGGCACAGGGGATACAGCACCAGCCCTGTAGTCAGGAGGACCTGAGTTCAAATCTGCCCTCAGACACTTACTAGCTGTGTGACCCTGGGCAACTCACTTAACCCCTATTGCCTCAAAAAATAAAAATAAAAACAAAAGTATATCATAAATAAGCAAGTAAGACAGTCCCTACCCTCAAGGAGCTTCCATGTTAGTAGGAATAGACAACATATAAAGGGGAGTTGGTGGTGAAAACTTGCAGCGGTATGACGTGACGATGGCTGGCTGAGAGACAGTGGGGTGGCCCGGATCTGGGCAAAATAAGGCGACAGCTAACTTATCAGAGCCAGGGAACCTATTGGCAGAGTCCAAGGCTGTGGCTTGAGGGAGTTCCTCACCTATTTAACGGTGTGAGTCACTCTTCAATCTGTTTTTCACTTTCATTCCACTCAGTCTTGGCTCCCATTCTTTCAGCAGACTGTCCCCGAAAGTAGATGATTAAAGAAGTTGGTTCCTTGCTTTGAAGCTAGCTCCCTAGAATAGGCAGGTCTAATTTCCATGAGGAAGCTGCCTAGCTCCCAGCTATGAGGAACTCCAATAAAAACAGTTTCAGAAATCATTTATTATTTTTTAAATTTGTTTTAATAGCTCCTCTGCATTTGCACTCACTCAGCTCTTTTTGTGTTGAATTGTAATCTGAATCCAAAACTTCAAAGTTTAAACTTAGTAAAGCTGGAATTATGAATAAAGTCTAGAAGAGAAGCGGAGCCGTATAATCACAGATTCTAGAATTGGAAGTCGGATCCAGGAGCTGTCTAGTCCAACTGGTATCTGAATGACAATCCTCTCTGCAACAACTGCCTTGTGGTCATCCAGCCTCTCCGCTCAAAGACCTCAAGTGAAAGAAGGAGCCCAGTCTCTCCATAAGCAACCTTTCCACTTCGGAACGATTCTAAGCGTTCATAAAGTTTTACTTTCATGGAAGCTAAATAAAACTTTCTTTAACTTCCACCCACTGCTCCTACTTCTACCCTTTGGGGACAAGTTGAATAAGCCTAAACCCTTCTCCAAGAAGTGACAGTCCTTAAAATACTTGAAAATAGCTATGATAGATAGATGATAAATAGGTACATGGACGGATAGACCAACAGAGAGATAGGAAAGAAGGAAGAAAAAGAAAGAAAGAAGGAATGCCCGTGAAGTATTTATTTTGTGCTAGATACTCTGCTAAGCCCTGGAGATACAAGGTGTGTATGTGTGTGTGCATATATATATATGGATGTGTACACATCCATATATATATATGCACACACACATATATCTCCCTGGCCTCAAGGAGCTTACATTCTAACAGGAGAAAACAACTTATAAAGGGAATCTGGAAAGTGTATGTGAGAGAAGTGTGGTAGCCTGGTATGGTGAGGGCTGGAAAGTGTTGAGAAACTCTGATTCCAGGCAAGATAGGTGAAATCTCCTTTCGTAGAACTTAAGGAACCAGAAATAGAGTCCAAGGTTGAGTCAGTGGGAGAGGAGAGAGATGATGGCCAAAGTATAGGCAGCATGATGAGGAGATGACCGGGAAGTGAAAAGATAAAGCTTAACAGGGATAAATGTAAAGTTTGACATTTATGCCCAAAAAAGTCAGTTATACAAGAACAACACAGGGGAGGTGTAGCCAGGTAGCCGTTCATCTGTAAAAGTTTTGGGAGTATTAGTGGACTACATGCTCAATATGAGGCAATAGTAATATTATATCTCAGCCAAAAAAGCTAATGAGATCTTAGGTATCATTAAAACAGGCATAGGATCTAGGACTAGGGAGGTAATGTTCTGTTGCACTATGCTTTATCAGACCATATCTGGCATATTGTGTTGAATTCTAGGTACCACAGTTTAGGAATGACATTTATAGGGCATACAAAAAAACCCAACCAGGATAGTGAAGGGTCTTGATAGTATTACATATGAAGATCAGAAGAAGGAATTGGGGATGTTCTGCCTGGACAAAAGAAGGCTTAATGGGGACATGACAGCTGTCTTCAAGTACCTGAAAAAGTTGCATATAGAAAAGGATTAGACTTGTTCTTGTTCCCCAAAGGACAAAATAAAGGGTAGTAGGTGGACTTATACACTTAATTGTGAGTGTACCCAAGGCTTTATTCTGGGTCCTCTTCCCCTTGCTCACTATACACTCAGTGATCTCACCAGCTGCCATGGATACAATAATCATTTCTATACAGATGACTTCCACATCTACCCAGTTTTTCTCTATACCCTGAGCTCTTGTCCTGTATCTTACTGCCTTAATTGAATATTTTGAGTTAGATGATTCAGAAGCATAAAAAACTCAACAGAACTCATTATCATTATCTTTCCCACCAAACTTACTTCACTTCTGAATTTTCTAGTTTTGTTGAGCGAATCACCATCCTTCTAGTCACCTCACTTCATAACCTGAGTCATCCGTCATTCCTTATCCTTCTTCACCTCACATATCCAATAGCTGACAACTGTTCTGTATTCTGTCTTCACATCTCTTGTATCTATCTCCTTCTTTGTTTACAGTAACTACCCTAGGCTAGGCTTTTACTATCTCTCCCCTGCACTATTGAAGCAGTGTTCTAATCGGTTTCCCTGCCTTGTTTCCACTGCAATCCATCCTCCTCACAGCTGCCAAAGAGTTATTCTTCAATCACAGATTTAAGTGACTGTCTCCTTATTGTTTCTGTGATTAAATACAAACTGAAAAGCACTTAAAACCTTTCTCATTCTGCTTCCAACCTCCCTTTCTATTATTATCCTTTGTATACTCTCTGTTCCTACCAAACTGGACTTCGTGATGTTCTTTATGCATGATACTCTATTTCCTGTCTGTGTTATTACACAGGCTGTCCCTCATGCCTGGCCTATCCCTCCTCATACTCATTTCTTCAAATCCCTAGCTTTCTGGTAGCTCGGATCAAATATCACCTCTTACTCAAAGTCTCTCCTGATCCCTCCAGCTGCTAGTTCCTCCTTAACATTAACTTGTCTATATTTTAGACATATTTATGTATTTACATGTTGCCTTCCCCTTTAAAAGGTAAACTCTTAGAGTTCAAGGACAGTTTTATTTATCCATTTATTATATGTATTCCTAACTAATGCCTAGTATAGTATCCGCTACATAGTAGATTATTAATGTGTTTGTTGATTGGTTGAAGCTGCAAAAAGACAGATTCCAATTTGATATAAGAGAAAACTTCCTAAAACTAAAAATTCCTAAAAAATAGAGCCATCCAAAATGGGCATGACTTGCTTCAGAAGGTGGGTTCCTCCTCATTGGATGTTTTAAAGCAGAAACAGAATGACCACTTGTTTGGGATATCATAGAAAGGATTATCATTCATTCATAGGCTGCACATAGGTTGCCTCTCTAGTCCTAAGATTCTGTGCTTTTTATATGAAAAGAATCCTGCGCAGTGGACAAATGGATGCCTAAAATATAAGGTTTTGCTTTTCATCTAGTCGACTTATGGCTTTGCAGGAAGATGAGAAAACAAATACATGGAAAAAACAAGACATCTGCATTGGCAACACTAAGACCTGCGCCTTCCCAGGACTGATCAGCACCTACAGCAAGTTCATTATTTCCTTTGCTGAGGATGAAGCAGGTAACCTCGGTTTATCAGAGCTCTCTGGCTGCGATAGCACCAAAGACAGAGAACCTCACAGTCTAGATGGTTCCTGCGCATTCATTTACTTAGTGCCATTTCTCAGTGAACCCCCACATCAGAGTCTGCCTTTCTCCAAGCCGTCAGTTCCTTTGCTGTTGGAAGCTTCCATTCGCTCTTTCCTCTCTTTGCTCTTCCTCTTCTCCACTGGAGTTTGCTTTAGGCCCTCTGCTTTGGTGACATGGTAGGGACTTCCTAAACTCTTCAGTTTCCTTACATTTGGAGCAATAGAGGTTTCAATTTTGTCTTTACAACCCCAGAATCTAGCACATGGCTTGTTGATTGATTGATGTAACAAAAATGTCAGCACACTTTGAAGTGCTCCAGCAAACTATCCAGCCACTTTTCAAAGCTAACGGTTTCAGATGAACATTTTGTAGCATTAGATCATTTTGGAAAACTAAACATTTTGAAAGGAAAAAAGCCATTGAGTTCCAAACAGAAAACCCAAACACATGAAAAATAAGAGGCACCACAGGTTGGCAACCCGGTGATCAATCAATGAAGGGCAGACGATCTAAAACTCCACAGGCTGCAGTGGTAAATCTCTCCCAGAGTATTCCAAAGACAAGGATGGCCTGTCTGCCTGGGGCATCTGTGGGCTGCAGTCTGTTCCATGGCTCAATTGCTTAAGCCAATACTCTGGCTTTGGTTGTGCCTGCAGATGAGTTTTAGAGGAAAAACAAGCTATCTTTGCAGACAGAACATAGGCAAAGAAAAACATCTTTGGCTGGGATTTGGTGGAGAGGACTCCCTAGGCTTATTTACCAAGGCAGGGTGGACCTAGGGAATTTCTGATGAAAACTTGTTCTCAATGGGGAATTTCTTAAATTTGGAACTTCCCACAAGAGGAGAGCTAATAAACCAGCCCATGGCATGTAGTAAGTACCGTCTTTTACCTCTCTGGCATAACCCTGCTAGCACCATAGTCCCCCCAGACCGGACTGACAAGATCAGGTTTAACTCAATATTTGTGTGTTTGGGAGTTGGGGGTAGTAGAAACTCAAGGAAAGTACTTTTACCTACATCCATATCATCACAGTTATTATTATTATTATTTTTTTGGCTAGGCAATGGAGTTAAGTGACTTGCCCAGGGTCACACAGCTAGTAAGTATCAAGTGTCTGAGGCTGGATTTGAACTCAGGTACTCTTGACTCCAGAGCCGGTGCTGTATCCACTGCGCCACCTAGCTGTCCCAATCACAGTTATTTAAAACATAACGTTTCCCAAGCTTTACTAGTTTATGGACATTTAAATTTATATTATTTATAAATATAATTTAGAAAATGTGTAATATATAAATGAATATACATATGTATTATACAAATATATTTTTAAATATACTTATTAACATACTTATATTAATTTATAATATATTTGTATTTATTTACTATATTAATATATTTAATGAATAGATTTATATAATGCAATGTAAATAATATATTAGGTAATAAGTTGATATTTATTATATTACTACAATATAATAAATATAATATAAATAAATATTTATATTATTGTAAGAGAGGCAACTTGGAGTAGTGGATAGAGAGAGAGAGAGAGTCTTAATGTTGGGGGAACGTCCTCATTATTTGAGCTTTTCAAAAGTGGAATGGGTTCCCTGGGGAGGTCATATGGCTTTTTCCTTACAGGCAGTGGCCAGATGACTGCTTCTTGGGGATATACAAGGGATTGCTGATTCAGGAACAGGTTGGCATAGATGACCTCTGAGGTCCTTTCCAACTCTTAAATTATTTGATTCTATATTTTTGTACACACATACACACACACACACACACACACACACACACACAGCAGTGTTATAAATGACAGACCTAGTTTACATCTACCTTTCCAGCCTTATTGGAGTAAGCTAGGCAGCACATGGGTTAAACTAGGTAGCATAGTGGATAGAGCAGGGGGAATTTAGAGTCAGGGATACCTGGGTTCAAATCCTGCTTCAGACACTTACTAGCTGTGTGACCCTGGGCAAGTCCCTTAACTTTTATGGCCCTCCCTTTTCTCATTTGCAAAATGAGGATAATAAGAACACCTGCCTCCTAAGGTTGTTGTGGGGATCAAATGAGTTATAATATGTGAAGTGCTGTGCAAACCTAAAAGTGCCATATAAATGCTAGTTATTATTACTATTATTCCATATCATATACTTTCAAGATTTCTATGTTCTAGACAAATGGAGTTACTCTCCTTTCCCTTGACTTGATACTCCTGCCTCCCTTCTTTGGTAGAACCAGTTGTCCAAGGCGCTCTCTGCATCCCCACCTCTTAGTCCTTATCTTCCTTCTAGCTCCATTCAGAAGCCAATCCTCCAGGAAGCTTTCTTTATCTCCTCCCCATCATCCTCAGCTGCTAATCTATATTCTCATTCTCCTCAGTTTTCCTTGTACTTATTTATATATATTTTGGGTCCCCTATTCCTACCCCAGTGGAAGGCAAGCTCCTTGAAGGCAGGTAGGTGATAGAAGTGAATAGTGCACTGGGCCTAGAGTTAGGAAGACCTGAGTTCAAATTTAGCCTCAGACACTAGCAAAGTGACACCGGGCAAGTCATTTAACCACTGTCTGCTTTAGTTTCCTCAACTGTAGAATGGTAATAATAATAGCACCTAACTCCTAGGGATGCTGTGAGGATCAAATAAGATAATATTGGTAAAAGCTAGTGCTTGGCACATAGTAGGTACTATATAAATGCTAGCTGTTAAGGGCAGGGACTGTTTTGTTTTTGTTTTTGTATGTAAGTAGTGCCTAAAATTATTGAATTGAATTGTAGTAAGATGAAATCTAATACAACATTTCTGAGAGTAGAAAGGAAGGACTAAAAGGCCTAGTTTGGCTCTTGTTTTTTCAAATACTGACAGTGATTCTGCCTCAGTCTTTAGAGTTGTGATAAGTGAGTTTAGTCTTAGTTTCTGTGTTTGTAGACTGGACCTCTTATATGTGCTTTGCAAGCCCTGGGAGATGTCTTGGGTAATTTAGTTCTGACAAAACTAAAATCCTACGGTCTTGACTATTTTTTGGTTGTTTAGGAGAGCTGTATTTTCTGGCCACCTCTTATCCGAGTGCCTATGCACCACATGGATCCATCTACAAGTTTGTTGATCCTTCTAGGTAAGAATTCTTCTTATTTCTGTTGGGGAATTTGTCTGCCCAGAGATCCCAAGATGTTCTCAGAGAATAATTCCTCCCACCGAGGGCCTTTTGACTGGAGGTCAATAAATCAGGCTAGGCTAGAAGATAAAAAAGTTTAATTAGTATCAGCAAATGGGCAGCTTCTTCTCTGAAGAACGCAAGGAGATACACACACACACACACACAGACACAGACACAGACACACAGACACAGACACACCCAGAAGGCAGCAAAAGAAGCCCATTTGGTGAGGCTGCTCAGCCCTGTCCTTATTTGGGAGTCTGAGTAAACAGGACTGGATGAGGGGTGATTTGAAGAGGCTGGAGAGAACATTTTGATTTTGGAGTAACTGGTGTCATCCAAGATGAGGTCTGTAGGAGTGTTCCCTATAGTTAATTTCATCAGACCATGGTGGGCCTAGAGGCCTCTACTTAATCTCATCCTAATATTTAGGTCTAGGATACTGGAGGCCTCCTTTTGAGACGGAATCAAACTGAGAGTCTGATTTTTATTTATACTTTGGGCAAGTCACATAACCTCTCTTGGCCTCAGTTTCCTCATCTGTAAAATGAGGGATTGTATGAGACAGTCTCTGAGGTCCCTTCAAACTTTAAATCTATGATGCCAAAATTTGTCCAGATTCATATCTGAATATCTGCACTAAACAGAACTGAGGGTTGAGCAAATTCAAATCTAGAGCAATGCTTCTCTAGGAACTTTGGAAACTAGGGAATATGGCAGCTCTAGAGATAGGACTGACTGGTTTGGACTGGGCTAGAATTGACTGATTTAGGTTCTGGAACCCCTGATCTTTGACAAGCTTCTAGGACTCCCCCCTTTAAGACCTCCCTCTCCTATCCACCCCATTCACCAGAAAAACAAAGACACTTGGTAGTTATCTCTTGGTTATACTAGCATTCCATCTAGTTCCATACAGAATAAAAGAGAAGTGCTTACTTCACCACTTGAGAAGTAAAGAGGGCTGGTACCGTAGGTGGCAGATGGACTAGTACCACTCAAGCTTCACTCACCCTTCCAGTTGTGGAAGGCTGGAGAAGGAGGGGGAGGTGGCAGTCCTCATGTAACCTTCCTTTTGGCAAGTTGGGGTTCTTGGTTTATTTTTCTATTAAATTTTATTATTATAAACTTTATACTCTCAACAAATAAGCAGTTTGGTTTATTTTTTTCCAAAAAGTTCTTGGAAAAGATCTGCAGGGCTTAGTGTCCCCAGCTAGGTAGTATAGGAGAAGGCAGCATCTCAAAGGCTTCTTTTAGGAAGGTCTGGTGGGTCATCTGGGATTACAAGGTATCCCACCCATTTGATTTTGCTTTTTTCTATCATTCCTGAGCTTCTGGTCTCCATCTCACCCCTTACCTCCACATCCCTACTCTCACCCCGGGGGAGTGCAAAGAAGTATGGAAAGGATTCTTCTTCCGCATAGCAGCCAGATCTATGAATGATTTAAAGATCAGGAAATTGGACTGCCCTGGACTGGGAGCCCTAATCCTATCTCACTAACTGGGTAGTATTGATGAATACCCTTATTTTCTATGCTCATTAACCTCGATGATCTATAAACATTCATTGGGATTAATGTACAAAGCTATTCCAAGATTTGCCATAAGATATAACTCAAAAAACAGATGTGAGGCTCTTTGCCAAGTGCTAGAGAGATCCTTATTTTTTTGTGGATTATCTGTGTGGGCCATTTGCCCATTCTCCCTGGTTCATTAAATAAGGCTCTTAGACCAGCCCTGGTCACAAAGGTTGGAGTGGTCCTTTCCTACATCCAGATTACTGTCTCTTCTCATTAGAAGATAAATCAATCAGTCAGTCATCAATAAACATTTATTAAGTTCCTCCCATGTGCTAGTCGCACTACTAAATGATGGGAATACATAATAGGAAGAATGAAACAATCTTTCCCCCGGGTTCTCCTCATTAACCTGGATAATTCAGAGTGGACTTTGTTAGTCAACAAGCATTTACTGAGTCTCCTAAGTGCCAGACAGTGTACTGGGACCTAGGGACGCAAGTTCAAAGAATGAAACCATCTCTACAGACAATGGGCTCACATTCTAATAGGAGAGACAAGTGTATACATAAACATACATAGTATACATATAAAGTGAATAAATGAATACAAAGTAGTTAAAGTCAAGGTAGTTTGGGACGGAAGGCACTAGGAGGGAATCTGAAAAGATTTCTTGCAGAAGACATTGCTTGAGTTGCATTTTAAAGAGAGGGACTTGATGGGTAGGAGGTAAGGAGGGAGTGCATTCCAGGTGTTGGCAGAAGGTTGGGGTGGGGGGGAGTGGCCAATGCATTGGTACAGACCTGGGGGTTGTGGTGTCATGAGTGAAGAGCAGAGGGAAGGTCAATTTGGCTGCATTAGAAGGGGAGTAATGTCCAATAAGGCTGGAAATAGAGGTTGGGACCAGGTTGTGAAGGGCTTTAAAAGCTCACTAGAGGGTTTTATATTTTATCCTAGACCTAGAAGCAATAGGAAACCTCTAGAGTTCCTCTGGGGCTACTGGTAGCCAGGCTCTCCAATTGCCCTTTTCCAGTTCCACGTACTCAGCCTCTCCCTCTTTGTTTTACAGGCGAGCGCCCCCAGGCAAATGCAAATACAAACCAGCACCTGTCAAAGCCAAGAGCAAGCTGATTCCCTTCCGGCCACTTGCCAGTGAGTTTGTCTTTGTGTTTTATAGTTTGGGCACCTGAGTGGTCAGAAAAACCCCCTGCTGTGGTTCCCAAGAGAGCTGTCCTAGCTTCTATTTCAGCGGTTATGTTTTCCCCACGGAATCATAAATTCATTGAGCATGAATTCAAAGCACGAATCCACCCTACGGCACTTTTGATCGGCAGTCATCTAAGCTTCTCTGGGTGGTTCCTCGGCTCCCACCCCCACCTCCATGGGAACTCAGTGTGGTGTAGCATACAGGGTAATTATTAGATTTGAGGTTAGGAAGATATGGGTTCAAATCCTGCCTCAGACATTTACTAGTTGTGCAATTCTGGGCAAGTCACCTGACCTCTCTGTGCCTTAGTCTCCTCATTTGTAAAATGAGGGGATGAGACTTGATTGGCTTATAAGTTTCCTTCCAGCTCTATAATGGTGGATATATGGTCCTTTGAACTCACTTAACAGTTAAGATAATACTGCCTATCACTTTTGGGTAGCTCTAAACATTAGGAAGCTGTTTTCCCTCAGTTTGAGACAAAATCTGCCTCCTGGTGCCTTCCACTCCTTAAGGGCCAAGCAAAGCAATTGAGCAATGGAATCTCGCTTCCACGTACATCTTTTACATCATACAGCCCTTTACATCTTGAAGTCAGCTATCCCATCTCCCTCAAGCCTAAGCCCAAAGCTTAAACATTCCCATTCCTTTAAATGATCCTTCTGAGGCTTACTTACCAGTCTGGTCCCTATTCTGGTGCCCTCTTTTAAATAATAATAACTGACTAATAACTAATAACTAATAATAATTTAAAGGGCAACCCTTTAAAGTTTGCAAAACACCTTACTTACATTATCTCATTTAAACCATATAATGATTTCTCAAGTAGATCATTTTGATATCATTCACCTCATTTTACAGATGAGAAAATTGAGGCTCAGAGAACTGCAGTGATTTGCCCTTGGTCACATGGTTGCTTTCTGTTGTGGTAGAATTTGAACTCGTCTCCAAACTCAGCACTCTATCCATTTTTCCATGCTACTTATTTGTCAATGTTCTTTCAGAAAGGACATTGATGATTTGTTGATTAGAATTTGTTATTTGGAACCCTTTAATTTGTCATTAGAAGCTAACGTGTCACATCTCTCTAACATCTAGAAATTACTATGTTTTGTTGTTAACCTTTTCTACCATAAGTACCATCTGGTAGACTATAAGCTCCTTGAAGGCAGGGACTGTTTTATTTTTGTTTTGTGTCTCCAGTGCCTGGCACATAATGGCACTTAATGAATGCCTGTTGGGGGAATGTGTAGGAATCCTACATTCATTCATTCATTCATTTATTGAATGGGGATTTATTAAGCATCTACAATAATTAAAATTTTTTTGTCTTTTTTGTCTTATTATTTGTGATACTTTTTACAATGATAAAATACAAAGATAAATTGTTTACAAAAATTAAAAGAAATATTTTTGGTGCTGTGAGAAATGGGAAACTTCCCAGGGTCACCTCTCCCTGTGAGCATCCCAATAGCTAGTAGGATGCTCCCTGTTCAAGGATTTGGGATAACTGACCTAATAAGAGTTGATATGCAGAGAACGGAAAACCCTTGTGACTTTCATAGGTGGTAGGGTTTTACTAGAATTGGAGTTTTGAGTAATTTCAGTTTTCCATTACTTACATATCTTATTATACAAATTATTGTTTTTCAGAGACTGTCCTGGAGCTGCTAAAAGAACAGTCAGAGAAAGCTGCTAGAAAATTGGCCAAAGCAGCATTAGCTTCTGGTACTCGAAACAGGGGCTCTTCTCAGAAAGCGTCCTCTAAGAAGTCAGCTTCTCCTAAAGGTACCCAGAAATTGCCTGCCAAGCCTAGACCCAGGCCCAGGAAGAAGACTCCTGGAACATTTGGCAAGCGCCAGGCAAAAGCCAGAAGACTTTCCACTAGACCTCAGGAGAAGAGAACTAGGGCCTTAGGAACCAGCAGCACCACACCCAATGGCAGCCAACATGGAGGCAGGGTTGGTAGGAGTCTTCCTTCTGCCTTTTTTTCTCCTGATAGTCAGCAGCTGAGAGTGGGGGAAGGGGAAGAGGGCCCATCTCAGAGGCTCTGATTCAGCCCCAGCCCCAGCCCCAGCTTAATTGAATAATTATTGGAGAGCTGAGACTGACATTGAAACCAGTGTGGTTTTTCTTTTCATGCAACTCTATCCATGAGTCCACTGGTGCTAATTTTGCTACTAGCACACAAGGATGGCAATGCATGGGTACTGCTTTTTTGGAACCCCTGATTCTATTTTACTGATTCTATCTCAAATTCTCATGACAACCTCAAACTAATATAAGCCCCTTCAGGGCACGGGCTATTTCATTTTTGTCTTTATATATTTAGCACATAAAGGGCATGCAATAAATGCTTTTTGAATTAATTGAATCAAAATGTCCAGGCAAACATCAAGGTAATGTAAGTTCCTTAAGGATAGGATTTGTTTAATTTTTGCCTCTGTATCCCTAGTACCTAGCACAGTGCCTGGCACATAACTAGGTGCTTAATAAATGCTTGAATTGGTGAATAAAGCAGCATTTCCTCAAACTTACATCTTCTGGCCTTTTTCTCTTCAATGGTGAGCTAAAATCTAAAATTCCTTGTTCAAATCCTCTCTAGCTATTTGTTCTGTAGGGTTCTTATTTTACATTCAGTTGTAGAAATTTGGATTCTGTCACAAGGCTAGGAATCCTGTGCCTGACAGTAGGGTAGACTGGAAAAATCCCTGGATTAGAAGAATGGACACCCTGCCTTCATTTCCCCATATTTACACTCCTCAAATGCTTGTGTTCTGAACCCTTTGAGGGAAAAGGGGCTTCAGAAATGGGTAGTATAGGACAATCCAGTCAAGAGTGCTCTGGATATAAGTATATAAACTGGGAATTAACTGTAATTTCTCAAAAATAAAAGGAATGGACTAAAAAAAAAAAAGCAAGGCGTTAAGAACATCATGCTTTGCTTTCTCCATGCGCTGGGGGATGTATGGAGAAAGGAGCTGAAAGATTGTCCTTAAACAGTTAGATTGGAAGCTGGTTGGATAAAAGTGGAATGTTGCTTTCTGGGTAGAGTATCTTTTTTTTTTTTTTTTTCTGGATGATGAGAGCAAAGCCTGCTGGTGCCAGCTGTTCATGGAGGATGTCTGTTCTGTTTGAAAGAAATCCTTTAGCTGTGGGGGAGCCAAAACAAATGAAGCTACTTTATAGCCCTAAGGTTTGAAAAAGTACATTGTGTTAAAAAATACTAAGATGCCTGTGCTTTCTTCTTCTAGGGGGAGAAGGGGATTGATGGAAGGTGATATAGCTAAGGTGTCTTAACAATTTGACAAGACACTAATAAAGCACCTATTGTGGGTGCAGAGAGGTAAGCACCATTATTAGTTCTGTCAGTTGAAGAAAATATAACTTGGATACTTATTCTTGTGTTTTGGCCCCTAAAAATCAGAAAGTGTTTTAGATACTGGTTTATTTCCAGTATCTTGCAGGAAACCATTCCTAGTTTTCTAAAGCATGGTGGTAGATATATATTAATAGGCCCATTTCTCTGAGACACTCTGAGAATGGCCTTTGAGGGCAAGTTTTCCCAAACTATGGTCTGTGGAACCCTAGTTTTCTATGTGATGTGTGTATGAGTTTTGTGAGAAAATTACTTGCTAGTGTTGTCTCCCCCCACTCCACAAACACTTTCCATTAAATTATGCATATATTAAACTTGGGAATGTGAAAATGCCTCCATTTCTTCTATTTATTAGAGAAATTTCCCAGAACCTGCTCTTTCATTTTTAGAATTAGAACAACATTTATAGTACTCTCACTTTATTTCAGGCCCAGGATTAATTTTGTGGCCAAATTAGTTTAAGGAACACTACTTAAGAGTTGATTTCATTTTTACAACAATCCTGGTAGGTAAGCAATGGGTAGATATCTTGTGGACAGATGGGCAAAGAGATATGAATTAGCTTAAAGGTCATTTAAAGGCCAGGAGGTTTTTAGCTTTCAGCCCAGTTCTATATGTAGTTTTTAAAAAAAAAATTTTTTTTCATTAAGAACTTAACACCAAATAAGATGAACATTTCCATATACAAAGCAGAATAAAAAAAGAGGATTACACATGCATGGGGAATCTGCATGTTATGTAGCCTGTTTCTTCCTCCAAATATACAACAAATTCAACATGGTTGAAAAGCTGCCCTGTTTCTCTGTTTCCTATTGACTTTCCTTCTGTTGTCTTTTATGCATTTTAAAAATGTTTCAGTGACCTCTTTTTTCCCCACATTTTGGTTATCCTGTTGCTACACTCCTCCACCTCAACCTGAAAGAAAGCACAAAACCCTTGTTTGTATAGTCATGCAAAACAAATCCCTACATTGGCCAAGTTTGAAATATATCTCATTCTGCACTTTGAGTTCATCACTTCACTGCCAGCAGATCCTTGGGAAATATGGTTGGCTACTGCATGGATCAGAGTTCTTATATATTTTTTACACTTTTCCCCTTTAGTTTTCTTTTTGTTATTTTATAAATTGCTCTGTGGGATCTGCTCACTCCACTCTGCATTAGCTCCCCTAAGTCTTCCTAGTTTTGTCTAAAAAGCTCCCTTTCTTAGTCCCGTATACCTATTGACCAGTAAGGGCAGAGACACAAAAACTGGATGACTACTATTTGTTAACAAGGGGATTCTTGTTCATGTATGGGTTGGACTAGATGGTTTCTGAGGTCCCTTCTAACTTTGAGACTGACTTGGCATTCAGGGGATGAAATACAAGCCAGCTTAAAGCAATGCTGTATAGAAAGACTTGGGGCTGCCCCATTGTTTCATTCAATTAAATAGGGATTTACTGAGTTCCTCACCTAGCTTATCAAGTCTAATTTTTAAAAAAAGGAAAGAAAGAAGAAAAGAATTATATAGGTATGCACAGTGAGAGACCCGGATTTAGAATCAGAGAACCTGAGCCAGAATTCTAGATCTGCCATTGTGTTCTTCAGGACAACCAATCAATCAATAAACATTTATTAAGTTCCTACTATGTGCCAGGCACATAGATCTGCCATTTTGTTGTTCAGGACAATCAATCAATCAACATTTAAGTCCCTACTATGTGTCAAATGCTGAGGACACAAATAGAGGCAGAAGACAGTACCTGCCTTCAAGGAGCTTATAATCTAATAAGTCAATTACGTACAAGTCAATTAAACTGTCAGCCTCAGCCTCCTTATCAGCAAAACGAAGAGGCTGAACCTCATGACCTTTAGAGCCCCTCACAGTTAATCGTTATATGATCTCTGGTTTACCAGACTGGTGCTGCAGCCACTGAACTAGCCCATTACGACCCTGTAACACACCCTTATGTCCCTCATCACTAGCACAAGCTTAAGTGTTTAGGGAGTTCGCTTACAAGCTCGTTGGAGGTAAATGCAAGAGTTGCTGTGGCCAGGCCTCGGCCAACGGCCCACCCTGGGGAAGAAGTCTTTCCCGTGCCCCTTCAGGCCAGTGTCCTGCCCTGAGACGTCGCTATTCAGACAGAGCTCCGGCCCGAGGTCGCCCGAGTTAAAGTTTGGCCCGACGCTAGCTGTGTGGCCCTGGGCAAAACTGAGGCTTCACCCTGTTTGCCTCAGTTTCCTCAGCAGTAAAGTGAGCTGGAGAAGGAAATGGCAAATCACTCCAGTATCTTGGCTAAGAAAACCCCCGATGGGGTCACCAAGAGTTGGACACGACTGAGGTGACTGGTCTCCCCCAACAGGTCGTAAGCTCCCTGGGTGCTTTTGTATCCCCAGCGGGTAGCACACAGTAGGCGCTTCATCAACGCTTGCTGATTTAACTAGCGATCTCTTCGGAGAGCGAGGCTGGAAAGCTGGAACGGCCGGGGGGAGGGGAGGGGCGGGGGGGGTGGAGAGGAGAGCGAGCGGAGGCTGCGCAGAGGCCACACCCCCGCCGGTTCGCGACCTCTCCCGGAGGCCCGGACCTTGTACCTTATTCCCGCCCCGTCCCTTCACCAGCCCAGGTCCGCGGTGCCACGTGGCATGGTCTCGGCAGGGAGAGCGGAAGCCGAGCCCCCGCTCCTCTGGCGCCCTCTGCCGGCCGCACCGGGCAGCGGCAGGCGGCCGCGGCTCCGCTGGAACCTGCCGGGCTCCACCTTCCACGCTCCCCGCCGCACTCCGGCGCGCGGAGCCGGGCCGTGGGTCCCCGCGGCGCTTCCTCTCGGTGCAGCCCGATGAGCTGGTGTCCCGCGCGGAGCCGCCTGCACTGCCTTTCGCTTAGTGCAGTGGGCTTAACGAGGTCCCCGGGCGCCCCGCCGCGTCCCGCCCGCGCCCCCGCAGGTGCTCGCGGCCCCCGGCGTCCGCAGCCCGAGCGCGTAGCCTCCTTTTCCCAAGCATCTCCTTCGTTTCCGGGGCCCCGCCTCGGCATCGCGGAGCTTGTGTTTTCTCGAGCTTTTGCAGGCGGCGCTTTCAGAAACCGCGTCTCTTCTTCGGAGCCTGTAAAATGTATTATGAGAGGAAAGAAAGAAAATGCAATTAAAGAAGAGGCCCCAGCGAGGATCGAACTCGCGACCCCTGGTTTACAAGACCAGTGCTCTAACCACTGAGCTATGGAGCCACCTATCATTCTCTCCAATATAATTGGATGATAGTGAGCTTTGGGCGGCTTCCGCTTTCTGTTAACCTCATTTTGATAAATACGCTTTTCGGAGGAGAGACCCTTCTCTTTCGCGCCAAATAGAACTTGCAGACGCTTTGCTGGCTCTTGCACTTTAAAGAAAAAATTCGGAAAACAAATTATTACCCAAGGGCGGGGCTCCATGGAATAGCCTGCCCATTTAGAAGTACATAGTTAATTAAACGAGGTAATTACTGCAACAGGGGTGTTACAATTGGTTGCCTGTAGTTTATGTTGAGTTGGAACGATTCTACACTGGAGAAACAAGACTCCCTCTTGTTGCTGCTGCTTACAAAGTCTCCGAAGTTCACATCCTGAAATCATTAAGCGCTTTGGGGAAAATGCTTTATTCCTGGAATCATCAACCAACCAATCAATCAATCAATAAGCATTTATTAAGTGCTTACCGTGTGCCAAGCACTGGGCTAGGCCTGGGGATACAAATGCAAAAATGAGATAGCCTGTGCCCTCGAGGGGATCACATTTTAATGCGAAACACAACTCTAGTGGAAGGAGGGATCAAAGAAGAACGTCTTGATCTGGGAAGTCACACAGAGGGTCAGGGGAAAGAGAGGCCAGTCCATTGGCATGCCCTTTCCAGAGGTAAAGTTAGTGTGGGCTTGATTGTAGTTCACAGAATAAGACGTGAAAAACAGGGCTGCTGAGATTGTATAACCCTGGTGAGCCCTTGGCAGTTTTGGAAAATTGTGTCCCTTGTGCATTATTATTGCCTTGGAAACTGAGTTTTCGTTGTCACAGAAGACTTGACTTTTCACTAAAGGAATGCCTAGTTGCCATGCAAAGTGGATTTTATGCACATTTTTATGTGCATTTTTTTAGCATCCTTGTTTCACCCTCTTCCTTTTGCCATGACTATGGA